CCGATAATGGGGCAGGTCCATCAGACCCTGTCAGACACAGGAGCTACAGGGCGATCAGGGGATTGGGGAGCTCCCCCCCTATCAGGCACAGAGCAGGGCTGATCAGGGGGTTGGGGTGCCTTCCCCTGTCACAAACAGAGCAGGGCGGATAGGGAGGTTGTGGCCCCGCCCCCTGTCACTCACAGAGCCGCAGGGCGATCAGGGGGTTTGGACGCTGCCCCCTGTCACACTGATCCCGGTGCCGGGAGCCTTGCTGCTCCGCTGATCCCGGTGCTGGGAGGCATATTACCCTTTTACTATATAGAATAGAGGCCTGGTGCACGGGTGGGGGCCGGCTGGTTTGCCCTGAAGCGTGTCCTGGATCAAGGTGGGGGTCCCCACTGGGGAGCCTGGCCAGTCTGGGTGAGGGGCTGAGGGCCGTTTTCCGACTGGCGGGTGACTGAAGCTCCCAACCGCTCCTTTTTTCTTTTTTTTTTTATTTATTCTGGGCCAGCTTTAGCTCTGAGGCCTCGCTGCTGAAAACATTGATACAATGTTGCGCCCAGGCTGGCTGAAGCCCGGCTGACTGAAAGCCGGTTTCTGGGGTTTTGTTTAGCTTCTACATTTGCAACATAGTTGCTTAGAGTTGCAACTGAGAGGCTGGCAAGTCAGGCGGGGAATGTTGGAGTCCGCAGTCACTGGAGCAAAGCAAGCCTCCCTGTTCGCTTCAGTGCATGGCTGCCGGCCGCCATCTTGGCTGACAGTTAATTTGCATAAGGATATGCTGATTAGCCAATGGGAAGGGTAGCGGTTGTACGCTAATTAGCATGTTTCTCTTTTATTAGTGTAGACAAGAGGCCCGGTGCACGAAATTCGTGCACTGGGAGGGGGGGGATGTCCCTCAGCACAGCCTGCACCCTCTCCAATCTGGGACCCCTCGGGGGATGTCTGACTGCTGGTTTAGGCCCGATCCCACAGGGACATCCCTCTCACAATCTGGGACTGCTGGCTCCCAACCACTCGCCAGCCTGCCTGCCTGATTGCCCCAAACCACTTCTGCCTGCCAGTCTGATCACCCCCTAACCACTCCCCTGCCAGCCGAATCGATGCCTAACTGTACCCCTGCCGGCCTGATCGCTCCCAAATGCCCTCCCCTGCCGGCCTGGTCGCCCCCAACTGCCCTCACCTGCTGGCCATCTTGTGGCTGTGCGTGCCACCATATTTGGCCCCCAACTGCCCTCCCCTGCTGGCCATCTTATGGCTGTGCGTGCCACCATATTTGAGGGTGGGACAGTCAATTAGCATATTCCCTCCTTATTGGCTGTGGGTGCCACCATCTTTGCGATGGTGTGAGAGTCAATTAGCATATCCCCTCTTTATTAGATAGGATATAATAAAAGCGCAATATGCAAATTGACCGAACGGCGGAACGACCAGTTGGCAGGGGGCAGGGCTGGCGAGCAGGTGGCGCTAGGCCAGCCAAGGTGCGTGCCAGCGGGCAGAGGGAGGGGACGGTGATGGGGTGGGGGGGTGGCGACCAGTGGCAGGATGATGGGGGCCGGCACCATCCCCTGATCACCCACCCGGTCGCCTCCTGCCAAGGGAGGCCATAGGCGGTGGCAGCAGTGGGGCAATTCAGGGCGGGGCCACTCGGCACCACCCCCCGATCAGCCTGCCAGGGTTGCCTCCCACAGAGGGAGGCCACCAGTGGCAGTGGCACAATGGGGGGCGGGGCCTGCCACTTGTTGCCCACGCCATCCCCTGATCGGCCCACAGATCACTTCCCACAGAGGGAGGCCAGACTGCGGCTGGGCCTGGGGAGCAGGCCTAAACCATCAGTTGGACATCCCCTGAGGGCTCCCGGACTGCAAGAGGATGCAGGCCGGTCTGAGGGCCCTCCCCCGTGCCGAGAGCATGAATTTTTGTGCACCAGAACTCTAGTATAGGATAAAAGCCCAGCGACCAGAATGGCAGAACGACCAGAATGACCAGTGGCTATGAAGTGCACTGCAGCAGCCAACCAGCCTGATCCGGGCCCCAATTGGTGCCCCCCCATGGCTGGCCATGTCCCTTCCCGATTGGTCCCCAACATCCCGATCGGGGGCGGGGCCGGCCAGCCAACCACCCACAGCCCCTCCCTCCCTCCAGCCCGATGGGCCCCCATTGGGATGGGCCGGCTGGACCCTACCCATGCATGAATTTGTGCACTGGGCCTCTTGTTCTCTAATAACAATGGTTCGCTGAGCCTAGACTATTTATGCAAACAATGTGGTTTATGTTGTACATGTGCGTTCCATCTGGTGCTAAGCAGAAGAGTACCTATGTGACTATCCCCTGATAAAAACTCTGAGCACTGAGTGTCTACTGAGCTTTCCTGGCAGACATTTCATGTTTGTCGTCATAGCTCATTGCTAGAGGACTAAGTGTGTCCTGGGAGAAGACTTAGAATCCTGTGCCTGGTTTCCTCTGGTCTAGGCCCCATGTGCCTTTCCCTATGCTGACTGTGCTTTGTATCCATTCACTTAAATAAGTCACCACCATAAGTACAACTACATAATGAGTCACCCCAATGAGTCACTGAACCTGGGAATGCTCTTGGGGCCCTCCGATACATGTATATACGTACACACATGTACATATAGACACTCACACATACATTGAAAGGGCATTCTAGAGCTGAGACTAAGAACTCATTAGATGGGTTCAAAATCATACTACAGAGACAATCTGAAACATGTATGTATCTGACAAAAGGAATATCAAAATACATACAACAAAAACTGATAAAACTGAAAAGGAGAAATAGACCGGATCATAGCTGGAGACTCATGCTCTCTCTAGTATTGAGAGATCGAGCAGGCAGAAAGTCAGTAAGTATATGGATGACCTGAGCAACACTATCATTCAACATGATCTAACTGACTTTATCCCAAACAATAAAATATACATTCTATCACTCCGTTCTAGCTCACATGGAACAGTCACCAAGACAGAACATAGCCCAGGCCACAAAACACACGTTAATGTGTGATATTTTGTATATCATACAAAATATGTCCTCAGACCATAATAGAATTAAATAGAAATTAATAAGCAAGTGACAGCTGGAAAATCCCCCAAATACTATTTGTGTTATTAAAATCCCCCAAATACTAAATGTGTTATTAAACAACACATTTAATAACTTATAGGTCAAAAAAGAAATCTCTAAAGAAATTTTAATATATTTTAAATAAAATGAAGATGAAAATACCTCTCATCAAAATTTGTGGGATGCAGTGAAAGCAGTGCATAAAGGGAAATGTATAGCATCAAATGTATATGTTAGATATACAAGTTTTTAAATTGGTAACCTGTGATGTCAGAGGAATGATGGTGTGAGAGATCCCCTTGGTCCTGCCCCTTGAAATTTCAACAATTTGAACAGCTATAATTCAACAAAGAATTCTTTGTTCAACACACAAACATGTTTGAGAGATCTTCACATTGAAACATCTAAAGGTGGGCAAGTGGGAGCCAACCAGGGTGACAAGAAGGGAGAAGAGTTTAAAGGAGCCATGGACGCAGCCCTGCAGGCAAGAGCTCATTGTGGGGCTCAGCCCAGACCAGTGATGGCGAACCTATGACACGCGTGTCACCTCTGACACGTGAACTCATTTTTTTGGTTGATTCTTCGTTAAATGGCATTTAAATATATAAAATAAATATCAAAAATATAAGTCTTTGTTTTACTATGGTTGCAAATATCAAAAAATTTCTATATGTGACACGGCACCAGAGTTAAGTTAGGGTTTTTCAAAATGCTGACACGCTGAGCTCAAAAGGTTCGCCATCACTGGTCCAGACAGAGGAATCTTGTGAATGGCACTCCCTTCAGCCAAAAGAAGCCAAGAGATTTAGTAAGCATTCCTGCAGGAGTGGGCAGTATGAGCTTCAGCTGAGCCCAGTGTCCAGGGCAGGGACAAAGCACAGAGATGTGGCCATGGTTGTCTGGCAATTGGCTTTCCAGACAGAGAATTCCAGACAAAGCCCAGGAGCCTGGCCACCTTCCTTAAACCACCCAGAGCTCGCCTCCCTTCACCCTTCGTGTTAGGTTGCAGAGCACATTATCTGCAAACCCGAGAAATGTTACTGCAGAAACACTTTCTCTGAGCAAAGGGCGCACTCTGTGACTAATCGCAGGGATGGGTGGAGGCACAGAGGGGACTCCACGGAGGTCCACTGGTCACCACTGCTGCAAGGGCAAAGCAACAAAGGAGGCATCTCATCAACTCACCTCACCCCTAAAAACTGTTTGGCAGTTTCTCACAAAGAAACACAGTCTTATTTAATACATGATCTAGCAATTTCACACCCCAGGTGTTCAAAAATTTACATCCATGCAAAAACCTACATGTGAATGTGTCTAGAAGTTTAATTCAGGATGCCAAAAACTGTAAGGAAACAATTCTAAAATCACTTATACATGTATGCTGAAAATAAATAATTATGTGAAATTCGAATGGTGGTAGCCAGATTCTCATTGTTAGTGTGGGAGAATACAGACAAGCAAAGGGAGAAGGCTAGATAGAATGTTCCATGTGGCAATGATTACAGCAAGAGACATCAATATGGACTAATAGTTACTATAGATACAGATGGTTACATACGGAAATACTTATAGATATATATATATATACGTGAGTTAGTAGAGACATCTATTTTTCCTTGTTCAGTCAGCTGAGAGGGTGTCTACAAGCAATGACACACCAGCAGCAATAGCCTCCCAATCTTGGTTCCAATAAAAGAAACCAGAGCAATTACCAAAAAACAAATAATATACCAAAACATAATAGTTTGTAACCCATATAATAAACAAGCATTAGTATCCCTAATATAAATAAAGAGCTAACTAGCCACTGAAAAAAGGAAGCCAGAAACTTAGGAGCAAAATGGGCAAGAGGTATGAACAGATAGTTCACTGAAATATAAATACAAGACAACTTTTAGATACATGAAAAAATATTCAGCCTCACTCAGAATTAAGAAACTTGCAGATGCAAACTACATAAAATATCACTTTTTACTTATTAGTTGCCAGAAGTTGAACCACATAGTGTATAAAAAATAGCTGAGGAGAAACAAGCACTCTCATGTAGTGTAAAGGGAACATAAAATGATATTATAATTCCACCAAACTGATCAAGTTTATACATTTTTATTCACCCTTTGATCTGACAACTCCACTTATGGTAATTTATTTGATGGAATAAATCTATACTTACAAGGTTATTCATTAAAACATGGCTTGTAACAGAAAAAGGTTAGAAATAGTTAATACCTAGTTAAATAAACTATGGGACATTCACGATTGAATTACTATACAGTTATAACACAAAAGAAACAGCAATCCATGTTCTGTTATAGAGAGTTCTCTGGGACAGGATGAAAAAAGGTGAAAGAAAATGCCGAAAAGGGAAAATAGTGTATAGATTTGCTATTTGTTGTGGTAACTTTAACAGCTGAATCAGCTTCACTTGGGAGGTTATTAAAAATATAGAATTCAAGACTCTACCCAGCTCTACTAACTACATCAAAAATCTGCATTTTAACAAAATGTACAGATGCATCTAAATTTGAGAAGCATTTAAGGAAGCATTTTAAATAGAGAGGGCATACAAGAATATGCACCCATATTTTCTTTTAATTGAATAAAGAAACACTTGAAAGGTAAACAAGAAATCGTTAATAATGGATACCAACAGTAGGGTGACCATGCACTTCAGTTTGTCTGGAACTGCTCCAACACCTGCCAGTTGTCCCAGCATAATTGTTTGCAGAACCTCTTTCACTCTCAGTGAAAGTGTCTCAGTTTAAGTGATAAATAAATGTCACCAAACAGAGAGGGAGCATCAGGTACAGAGAGGATGGAAGTGTGAGTTTTTAAGTTACTGTCTTCTATATCACATGTTTAACCATGTTAATATATCACCAATTCAAAACTATTTTATTTAAGAAAATATAAAGCAATACCGGTCATAAAAAACAAGTAGACTGAGGAGAGCAATGGACCAAGAACAGGTAAGAAAAGAAAAAGACACTTCTTGGGGGACAGAGTAGGTAAAGACAGCTAGGAGGGCAGTGTCACAGACAACAGAGGACACTTTCAAAACAGACGATAGATCAGAGTGCCAAGTACTGCAGAGGAGGCAAGTAAGACAAAGACAAAAGCTGGATTTTACTACAAGTTGGTGGCCTTTTCCAGAACTGATTCAAGGTGCAGTGGTGATGCAGCAAGACTGCCTTCATTAGGTTGAAATGTAAATGACAAATGCAGAAATGAACGTCAGAGCTGTCTACTACTCACGCTAGAAATACAAACGCGCCGACACAAACATTTACGGGGAGTTATTTGGGGACATAAAGTCCCTCCATTCAGCCAGATCTTCCAGGTTTTTATTCCTGGATCAAGCAGGACCATGAACAGCTGTGGACTCACACCTCACTGTTGGGTCTCCTGAAAAGTATACCCACCCAGTTCTGCCTTAGCATTTACTGTTTCCACCAAAGAATGATGATAGGCAACAGACTGCATGTATGTCAGTGTTGTCATTAGGAAGATCAGAGAAAATTTTACAATAAAATTAAACATCTTGCACCTGATTTTACCAACTGTCCTTTTGGATTTACTTCTCTTGTTACGTTTCCCTTAATGTAAAACTTTGCCTATTTCTACTTTTTCATTTTAAAAATATGAACCCTTATAAAATTTAGAAAACACATTTTAAAACATGTGGGAATACATAAACAAAACACTCACCTGGGGTTTGTTCATTTTCTGTTCTTAGAGGAGGAGGCAGTGCTAAGGGAGAAGGAAGAAGGAAGTCAGGAGAACTGGCCTGCCGTGCAGTTCCTGGACTGACCTGCCTGCACAGCTCCACACGCAGGATACTTACATGTCCACGTGTGGCTCCAATACATGCTGAGCTTAGACATGACACTTTTCACTGAGTGAGTGTAATATTTGTTTCTTACTGATTTATTACCAATTTAGGGTCTGCGACACAAAAATTAAAAACATAAGAAGATGCTTTTAACATAGAACAGTAATCTAAAGAAGGAAACGCCACGGATTTGTTAAAACTGATGTTGTAGAGAAAAAGAAACCCTCAAGCCATATTGCTTATCTCTTTACCTGCGAGCAACATTAATCCTTTGGGGTCAAATAATCCAAAAAACCCCTGAAAAAAAGGGATGGGGATGTTTACGACCAGGTAATATTTTTAATGTTTGTTCTAACCTGCTCACAATTTTCAAAAAGATCTTTTAATAAGGAACCAGCTTTGACCTAACTGACAAAATGAGCAGTAGCTCGGGGGTCTGCAGACCTACCTTTTCATCTCGGTCCCACCACTAACACATGGCATGATCTGAGCCGGTCACCTTCTCAGACTCATTTTTTAAAAAACCTTTCAAATGAGGTCAAACGAGATCATCCAGAAAGGCCCTGCCCGCAGAAGGCCAGGAGAGGGGGGACCTCGCATCTTCTCTAGGTGCCATCAACAATCATCCTCGGGACGCTGCAGGCAGCTCACCTCCGGAAGAGTGGACCGAGGACCGAGGACCAGAGGTGTAGCGGGTATTTGGGGAGGAATTATGACAATTTCCTCAGCTGTCGCTGGTGAGCCTTCCATCCCCACGACAAGGTCACGAGCTCGCCAAAGGGGTGGCATGTGCTGCATAGCCTGTGCGCCGCCCTCGGCTCCAGCTCACCTCTCTCCTCTTCCCGTCACACAGCCTCCCATGGCTTCCAGAGGCTGTGCCGTGATTACACATAACCCACAGCAAATGAGCACATAATGAATACTAACTTGGGGTCTGGAGAATGCTGGAGCCTGGGGGGGCCCTCGGTGCCAGCCAGCCCAGCCCTTTTCCCTCCCGTCTCCCCAGAGTTAACGGGGAAACGAGGCCCCGCAGACCAGTCCCAGCTCCAGCCGCAGGTCACACGCACAACAAACATACAGCAGCTAGCAACGCGCAGGCGCTCAGAACAGCACAGGGCGGCGAGTGTCCCTAACACCGCATTTCACAGATGGAAAATCAGGGTCTCCGGGGGCTATTTGGTCCGGCGATACACGTACTACCAACCCCCGGCCCCTTTCCTCGCAGGCCCAGCGCACACGCCAGGCACGCGCACACGCCGCGCACGCGCACTCCTGCGTCCCAGTCCCAGTCCCGCTCTGCCCCGCGGGCCCAGCGCTCGCGTCGCGCACGCGCACTCCCAGCGGCGGCCACACGGGGGCGCGTTAGCTCGGGGCGAAACGCCGTTGCCCTCGCCAGCCCTGGAGCCCGCATCCCACGCCAACC